CAGTGGGCACGGCGATTGTCGAGCAAGCATGTCGCCTAACCTCTGCTGGCTCTTCCTACAGGCGCTGTCATGCTTCTACGGATGCTCCAACGGGGAATGCAACATCACTAGCCACCTGGCCCCCACGCCCACGATGACGCTCAGTAAATCCGTGCCGGACGCCAGTCATCTTCACGCGCTGAAGCCCACCACGGTCATCGCAGCGCTTGGATCGATTTCCGCTTCCGCGGTTACGTCACCTGTGAGACACCTACAAAGGGAGCTGCCACAACATTTCATCTTCAGTGGGCACGGCGATTATCAAGCAAGCATGTCGCATAACCTCTGCTGGCTCTTCCTACAGGTTGGTTATTCATTCAGATCGTTTAGAAGTGATGATATTACGATTGTAGTTGTGTCGTGCCCACGGACTTTGTGTCACATTGCGCATGACTGTTTGTTAGTATGTACGCTTCTTTTGTGTGGGGATGTGGAGTCAAACCCGGGGCCTACAATTGAAGAAATGTTTCAGACAATCATTGATGGCCAAATCGCGATTAAAAGTGAAATATCTGAGCTCAGGGCTCGACACGATCGTAATGACAAAAAAATTGAAGACCTAACGTCTAAATGCACGGGAATCGAGAGAACTCTGAGCGATCTACAAATAAAGACTATGCAGATTGATTCCCTAAAGCAAACTGTAACTGCTCTTGAGCAAATTATATTGAAACAAAATGCAAAAATTACTGATCTGGAAGACAGAAGTCGCCGTTCAAACCTTGTAATCCATGGCATCCCCAAAACTCCCAATGAAACCGACGACCAATTAAAAAGAACAGTACTCGTTGAACTTTTTCAAGATAAACTGGCGTTGCGTGTTCGTCCGTGGCGCGTGCTCACAGGCTTGGTAAACATGGCTCCAAAAGACCGATTATTTTATACTTTCAGGATTACAATGAAAAAACGGAAATCCTTCGTGATGCTAAAAAACTTAAAGGCTCGAAAGTGTTTATAAACAATGATTACTCGCAGGCTACACTCATGAAAAGAAAAATGCTGTGGGAGAGTGCCAGAAACGATAAAGATAAAGGCGCCCGTGTTTATCTATTTAATGATAAGCTTCACGTGAATGACGATGTATTTCTATGGGACGAAAACAAAAATACACGCGCAAGTATTTCAACCCAGATGAAAACCACCCGTTCTGAATGACTTGTACCTAATCGTAAACAGTTTCGACTTTTGAACTTAAATGCACAAAGTGTCGTCAACAAATCACACGCACTTGAATCTATCCTTCTTACGCATGACCCGCATGTTTGTGTTATAACCGAAACCTGGCTTACTGATTACATTAGTGACGGAGAGGTATTTCCGGATCAGTACAATGTATTTCGCAGGGATCGTGATGGAAGGGGTGGCGGACTGGCTGTTTTACTTAAACCAGGCATTGAAGCGGTCCTGGAAACCCAAATAGAAAATCATGAAAGCTTGTTTCTACGCCTTAACTGTTGGGGCAACACTGTTATCCTTGGAACTGTTTATCGACCCCCCTCTGCTACTCCTGACTACTTGTGCAGGTTATTTGACCACTTGTTTAAATTTAGCAGCCATAAAATAATCCTGGCTGGTGACATTAATACCCCGTCCGTTGACTGGCCGAATATGTGTGGTTCTTCTTCTGCAACTGAAATTATTTTTGATATGATGTTCGCCTTTGATCTGACGCAGTTAGTTCAGGATCCAACCAGAGTACATGGTACAAGTCACTCAATTCTTGATCTTGTTTTCGTAAACAATTCGCTTAGTGATTGCACCATATCTGTTGAACAGGGTATATCTGATCACTATTTGGTCTTCTTGACTTGTTTACTTGAGCGCTTTTCACCTACAAAAAGAGTTATATATTCACCTTTCAAAGACTACTCGCGAGCTGACGATACTAGCATACTCGATTATCTTGACATAAATCTTGATAATTTCACTGATACAAATGTTGATACCCTTTGGCTAAAATTTAAGAACTTATGTGAATACTGCCTTGAAAAATTTGTACCTACAAAATACAAGCGTATTAATCGTAATAATCCGTGGATTAACAGAAATATCATACATCTCAAACGCAAGATAAAACGAGCGAAGAAATCAAGGCCAGTTAACTATGATGTCACCAATCAGCAGAGCGATCTTCGTAGCCCAATTGCAGTGGCTAGAAACAACTACTTCTCCGGTACGCTTCTAAACTATCTTAAACATGACCCCCAAAAGTTTTGGCGCTACTTGACTGAAACAAATAAGCCTGTTGAGCAAATCGTGGTGAATGACACTGTCTCAACTGATCCTGGTGTTATAGCGTGCCATTTCAATGAGTATTTTCAGTCGGTTTTTTCCGATATCCGTAACCATGATTATGTGATTTCCACCACATCAAACTATCACTCTGAGTTCATAACTTATTACGGCATAGTTTCTTTGCTGTTGTCACTGAAAACGAAAACACGTGCTGGTCCCGATAAGATTCCAAACACGTTTTTACGACGGTACGCTGAGTCCCCAGCCCATTATCTTCTCATTATTTTTCGTGCATCATACTCAAACAGCTCGCTGCCAGATGATTGGCGAACTGCCATAGTGGTACCTGTGCACAAAAAAGGGGATCGCCTAGCAGTTGAGAACTACCGTCCAATTTCCTTGACTTCTTCTTCGTGTAAATTAATAGAGCATATCATCTGCAGCCAAATCAATGAACTGCTGGACAGTCGTAATTTTCTAACAGAATTTCAACATGGCTTTCGCAAAGGCTTATCAACTACGACCCAACTCGTCACTACCATCCATGAGTTTGCGCAAATCCTCGATAGGGGAGGTCAAATCGATGTGCTTTTCCTGGACTTCAGAAAAGCTTTCGATAAGGTGCCTCATGAACAACTGCTTTGTAAACTTGAACAGCTTGGTCTTCCACATGGTTTTGTTAACTGGATTGCTGCATACTTGTCACATCGCACACAGTCTGTTTCCGTCGGAGGTTGCATCTCTCCAGTTCTGCCTGTAACGTCAGGGGTCCCCCAAGGAAGCGTTTTAGGTCCTCTTTTGTTCTTGGTGTACATTAATGATATTGTTTCAATCATTGACGCAGGTGTCCATATACGTCTTTTTGCCGACAATTGCATTATTTTTAAAGAAATAACTTCGAGCTCGGATCAGTTATTGCTAGATCATAGTTTGCATTCCGTTGTATCATGGTGCGATACGTGGAAAATGAAGCTTAACTCTGCTAAATCAACACTTTTACGTATTACAAAAAAGAAGCAACCCTTTGAATACATTTATAATATCGCGGACATCCCGGTTACTGTGGAGCGGGAATGTAAATATCTTGGTTTAATTATATCGGACACACTTTCTTGGTCTCCTCATATAAAACATATCTGTACTTCGGCATCCAGGAAGTTGGGTTTCATTAAAAGAAAGTTGACCGACGCTCCGATTCAGGTTAAGCTACATGCGTATTATTCATTAGTCAGATCCAAGTTGGAGTATGCAAATATCGTTTGGGATCCATTCACTCAGAAAGATATCCGGAAGTTGGAGATGGTGCAACGTCGAGCGGTTCGGTTTATTTACGGAAAGTATAGAAGGCTGGATTCACCATCTCAACTTATGCAGGCTAACGGAATACAGACTCTTCAGGCCAGAAGGAAACTAGCGCGGTTGAAATTCTTGTTTCATCTTCAGCAAGGACAGACTCGCGTAGACCCATTGCAATATATTTCCCCTTTAGCGTCGAGAGCTACGCGGCACAGACATCAGTTTTCACTAACACCCATTTTTGCGCGTACTAATATGTTTAAGTTTAGCTTTTTCTCTCGCACTATTAGCGACTGGAACGGTTTACCTCTCGAACTATTTATCGACACCAACTTTGTAGAAGGTCTCGAGCGTCTTGATAACTAACATGTTTTGCTTTGTACATTGCTGCACCTTCATCTTTTTCGCATGGACATTAGGATTGTATAAACCTTCATACTACATCTGGATAGGTCATTTTGTATTAGTGCATGATGGAATTACATACTGCTTGATGCTTGGTTTCCCCCCCTCCCCTTTTTTTAAAAATAATATATCCTGTATATTTGCTAGTTAGTTGTAAACCTTTTAATGTCGTGTTATTTGCTTTCGTTTTATGTGTGAATGTATATGTTTTATCCCACACCTACTTGGGCCTTCGATGGCTTGTAGTATCCTCTAAATAAAAAAAAATAAAAAAAAACGAGACGGCGTTGAGTGATGTCAGGTCACACGTCCACGTCACCTGACGTAAGGTCACGTGACGTCACGGCGTCTCGTGACCACGTCGAGTGACGCCAAGACATTTGACTTTATGGTATCACGTGACAGACCGACCTGACAACATAATATCACGTGACGTTTACTGCCTTCTAAACTAATTTAATCCATCGCTCAGTTAAGTGCTGCATCCCTCGAATTATAATTTTCAAAATAAGCGTTTCTGAACATTTTTCTTTAATCAATCTGCGAATGGTATTTCCAAGGAGCGTTCGGAATAACCCTACTGGGAAAGAAAATATCACTTTAGTGACCACAGATGTCATCTCGAAACTGCGAATAAAAGATTCTTGCTAAAAAGAAAAAAAAGGTTATTTCCTTGCATTTTGAGCACGAGTATAGGAGGAGGAAAGACCGTTTACATTATGAATTTAGCCGGTGACTGCGCCAGACGTAAGGAATCCAGTTTACAACCAGTCTAGAGTGATAGAAAAGGTAACAGTAGAGGCCACTTCCACCAGCTCCCCTGCTCACTCACCGTATTTTCAGTACCAGTTTTCATCGAGAGCAATACCACATATTTGCACGAAGCAAGTAAGATCAGAAATGTAGGAAAATAAAACTGTACACAGGCGTAAATAGTTTTTCTTAAATTTTTATTAACTCAGGATCTCTTATGGTTCTACACACATGTTATAGAAATTATAGAAGGTAGATGCCTTCAGGATGTCTTATGGTTCTACAGACATGTTGTAGTACTGATAGAACCTCTTTACACACTCTTTACGGGCCTCCTCCGTAGCACACGTGGAATTTTTGTCATTATGACTTCCATGTTTCAAAAATTTCGAAATTAGCGAGTCCACGAAAGGAAAGACCTTCACAAAGAGCGAAGGTCTCTCTGGGATAAAGCAGTCATCTGGCCCGTCAGAAACCACACCAATAAGAGTCCACCGACCGTTATCTTCGTACATCAAGGGTCCTCCGCTGTCTCCCTGAAAATAAAGCGTAAGATATTATTAGACTGAATTTGATGTTTTATACTAAAAAGAAAGATTCGAAATATGTGTTTATGAAACATAACACGTTTCTCAGCGTGATTTACTAACAGTAATAATGCTAATGTTACAGCGTTCTGCATGTTTTCAGGTTGTAGCGCATGAGCGTTAATGACTCCTACGCTCTGCTGTAAGATATAAAAATACCAAGAACGAACAAAAGAACAGACATCAAGGTTTTGCTTGTAAACTGAAAGCATCTATTTGAGAAATTTTCTTGTTGACCTTAAAGGACGAACGAGGTTATATCTCTCAATTTATCTATTGTAAGAACAGTACATATCCGCCGTTATTCACGTAAACTTCCAATATATTGACCAGTCTTGATATTCGTAGACCGAGCACTGCAACTCAACCTTTACGATATTGATGCATACTAAGCTGCACAAATGTTGGGTCTCCAGATATTTCCTTTGATAGCAATAAAGCATAAACAAGAGGAAGTAAGAATTTTTTTCGGGTTAGCATGCTTCTGGTATTTGTAATTGGGAGCTGCTCTACAGAGTTTATGAAAAAAAATCCTGTAGTTTTATTCGTGCAGAACAGTGTAGGATATAACTAAGCGTACAAGAACGTTACCATCTAGATCGCAAGCAAGGCGCACTTCTGGATATAACAAGAAATTATGATACTTCGCTTGAGGACTAGTGCGAGCGAAAAAAAAGCTACAACTAATCATTGATGCTAACTCTTTCCTTAGAGCATGCTTTCAGTGAATAACTACAAGTTTCTGTTAGTGACACAATGAGAGTGCGGGCTGATTATTCTGGTCACATAGCAATAGTGAGTTAAATTGTTGAGCATTTCACACAAACATGCTTCACAAATGAAGCGCAGCCGAACTTACAACGAATTCTACAGAGGCAGAAGTATGTTTCTTGCGGCGTAATCTTAGGAACTATTTCTTTTAATCTTTCCTTCTCAGAGCTGGTTGACGTTGTCAAAAGGAACGCGCGAAGATTACCCATGGGCGACGTTAGTTGAATATAGTTCATCGACTAGAAAGGTGCACAGCATGATCACTTGAGCATGGGACCGGTTACCATCGAAACCATAGCAGACATTTGGGTTGTGGTTTCTGTCCAATCGCTGCTGTGACGCGTCTAGATAAAAAATTTAATTGTCGGGAGCATGTACCTTTTGGATGTGGTAACCCGCAACGCCTACCAGATATCGCGGGATATACACCTTTTCCGCGTAGTCGTCGCCATCTTGCGTGTTGCAGCGGCAGCCGCGCCGTCTGGCGTACGGTTGTTGTGCGGCCATTTTGGTATGCGGAGAGCAGCGTTGTTCCTAGCTCCCGCGTTGTCCCCATTGACCCCGTGCATCGTATCTTCATTGTTTTCCCTTTAGTGAGTTCTTAATTTGTTTGTTATTGAAAGTGTGAATTGTTCTTGTGTTCTGGCGGGTTTATTCGCATTCATCGCGCCCGTTGTTGCGCCAACCGCGCCGAGAGGTTCGTCGCCAGCGTCGCCGGTAATCGAAATCGGAGGTATGTTCACTTTTCCTGAGCATGTTTACCAGTGTTTACTCTTCGTGTGTTGTTGTTTGTGAAGAATGACAGCCTTCTGCGAATGACTAACGGAGGGTTTCTATGTGCGAGCGAGGGCGACCCTGGGCATAGAAGTATCATCGTTTTATCGTAGAAATACTCACATTGGGAGTTGGCGACACGGGCCGAACGGTTTATTGTTATGGTGCACCGTCGAGGTACGATCGCTAGTTACCGGGACATCTCTACTTCGTATGACGCCCAGATGCGTCGGAACTAGTCAGGAGATGGGAGTGAAAGGGGAGGGGGGGAGGGCGACGACGATTTTGCGCCCTCTTTTCGTATTGTTTCTATTAACGTATTTTGACGGGCGTCGCTACCGAGCAACACACAAACTTTTAGTGCACATCCTCGTAGGAATGAACGGAATGAAAAACAAGACTTGAGTAGCCAATAACAATCAATACACCCAGGGTCTTACATATGCACCACCAAGCTGCAAAATTCTTTCTACATTTGACTTGTCGAGGCCTATTACTGCACTTGTAGATGTCCGTTTCTATTCTGCCTATTTGATCTTTTTATGTGCTGATATTGCACCGCTTCCCCGCTTATATCAGCGGGGAAGCGATGCAAAGTGTATACGTTACAGCCGCATTCGCTTTGCGACTTTTTGTGTTCGGTGCACAATTTGTCGCGCGCTATATTCCGTTTTCGGAAATTGCTGCTGCAGCCAACGACTGCGCTGTGGTAGCCCGATGACCAAATATGCGCGGACATGATAAATCGACGTATTAACCCACCTTATTACAACTCACTTCGCTGTCAAGGGCTTCAAAACCCATTTAACGCGCACCACTTGAGCTCCTTGTCAACCGGCTAGGCCTGGTCCCGCATACCGTAAGTGTTAGAACCGGAAGAACTATTCCCGCTGTGCGACGAGTCGCCGAGTCGAGGCTACGCACGTTACGCGCTGGGTCGAGATTGGACGGAAAAGGTGCATAGCCCATATAAGCAAACGGCGAACTGGGAACCAGCGCACTGCGGCGGAGTGACCGAGCGGAACGCTACATTTCCTTTCTGCTCCTCAGATGGGTGCTTCTTTTTTTTTTTTTCTTCTCTCACCGCACACTTCGGTCGACTGCGCTCTCCCGTACTGAGCCATTTCTCATATCGAAGAAAATTCTTGCTCAGCATGTATGAAAGAAGTGACGAATGATAGTAAAGCGTTAAAATGCACAAACTGCAACAGCGTGTACCATATTATAAAGTGCTCGGGAGTCACATAAAAAGCCCAAAAAGCGGTAAATCCGCTGACTTGGCGCTGTGCAACCTGTAAACTGTACACCCTACGTCAAAAGCAGCAGGGAGATGACCAGATTGCACAGGACACTGCCAAAACTTCAGATCACGGACAAGCGGCTATATTGGCGCAAAAAGTGCAGACAAACAGAAAGATGACCGCGGTTTTGACTACGATTGAAAACATCGAAAAGAAGTTGAATCTGAAGCCTGTGCAACATGACGCCAAGATCCAAAAACTGGGTGATCATGAGAAAACCATTGAATTTATTAAAAATCAGTGAAGTTTCTATCTATAGAGTACGACGATCAGCTAAAAAAGATCCACTCACTAACAACTGTCACGAACAACCTAAGGAAAAGAACAAAGGAGATCGAACTGCTTACATTTGACAATGATGCGCGAATAAAAGACTTAGAGTGGGTAGTTTAAAATATAGACCAATATGAAGGAAGGAGAAACATTGCCATCCATGGGATTGTCCCAAACGAACACGAAGACCTGCCAACAATTCTGAAAATCTAGCAACCAGGCTAGACCTGCCTTTCCAAAAGCCAGATGATGTCGAGGCCATGCACAGACTAAGAGCGAGATATGATAAGAGTGCTTCGATTATTGTCCGATTCAACGACAGATCGGAAAGAGACCGGTAAGCCACAGAGCGCAGAGCGCTAAAGGCGAACCATACCTTCGTCAATGAGAAGTTGACGCAACTGCATAAATGGTTGTTCTGGAACGCAAAGGAATGTGCAAGGAAAAGGGAATACAGCTTTGTTTGCATGGGAAACGGAAAAATAATGGTCAGGCAACGCGAAGGATCGGCAGTGATACGTATCGACAGGGAAGATGACTTGAACAAAATTCGATAAAATGGCCACATGTACAACCTGTTGCACTTGTGCACTTAAGGACTGGAATAGATATTGCCACGCTCGTCGGCGAGCGACCGAGTGCGTGGCCGAGTGGTTACCGTGCTTGACTGTCGCGCGGAAAGTCTGGGTTCGATTTTAGTCAGTGGAATGCTCGTTCATTTGTTCTTTCAATATTGCGTTCTAGTGTGTTCGAAAACATTCTCGTATGATCGAGTTACGAATGTTCCAGTCGCCGAACAATCTAGGCCGATTGTTCCAGAACCCAACGCGCGTACATAAGGGACTCCGCGTGCTGATCTGCAGTCAGTCTCCCCCAGCGTTCGACTCTGCTGTTACGCCGACTTCGATGCCCACGACGCTCTGTTATTATCTTTTGTACCCTTTTATTTTTTTGGCACAAGTTCGCCACATTAAACGTTTATTTCTTCCTGTTTATTTATTGGTTTTTGGTCACCACCCGTGACATTTTCGTGGAGGTGCGGCGTACCGCACGCCCGTGCAGCGTTCCCCTCCAAGGGCCCGCAGTGCAAGTACGATTCCCAGCTCGGTGAGGAGACCACTCACCGCAGAACCTGAAACTCGGACCAGCCGCCGCACCAAGGGAGAGGCTCCTGAGTAAGGTTTACTGCTGGACAAGCCGAAGCCGAAGAAGACGACGATGCCCAACCAGTCGCAGAACCCCGCCGCTCCTGCGTCGTCTACCTACCCGTCGCTCCCCGGACACCGGCTCCCTTCCACGGCGAAAACCACGAAGACACCGACGACTCGGTCCAGCAGTCATAACGGGTGGACACCAGAACAGTGTCTACAGAATGCGTACTTCGCCTTGGAAGCAACCGCCCGAAACTGGTTCGAGAACCACGAAGCTTCGATCACGTCCTGGGAGCAACTCAAGCCTGAGTTGCAAAGAAAATTCACGAACCAACAACGAAAAGAACGCGCCGAAGAGCTTCTTCAAGCGAGGATCCAAGGCCCTAACAAGACCGTCGTTAGCTTCGTGGAAGATGTCCTGCGACTGAGCAACCGCGCCGATCCTGAAGCATCCGAAGCGAAGAAGCTCAGAGTCTTGATGCGCGGCGTGAAGGAAAACATTTTCGGTGGTCTTGTGCGAAGCCCGCCTACCACAGTCGAAGGCTTCATGACGGAGGCTACCAACATCGAACGTGCCCTTCAAGCACGAGCCACCCACTATCACCGAGTTCCCGGCGTCGGTCCCTTTTCTTCTTCAGGCTGCAACACCACGGACATCCGCGAGATAATCCGGGACGTC